TTTAGAGTAATATAGTTTCTTACATCTCCTCAAAATCTCAATTAATTTGTTCTTATATGACTTATATTTTTCTTCCGCCTTCTTTGATCTGTACTTTATGAATTCCTTATATAACGCATTCTTCTTTTTACATGCATTCTGTAATCCCTTACTCATCCACGGTTTCCCACTGTAATTCCTTTTGTTTTTATACTGCTTACGAGGACAGTTCCTGTCATATACTTTCTTGAATATATTTAAAAATTGCTCATATGCTTTATCTAAGTCTTCCTCTCTGTAAACTGATTCCCAGTCTTGCCCCATAAAATCCTCTTTTAGCCTCCTTACAGCATGTTCATTCGTCACCCTCCTATAGAAAAGATTTGATTTTGGCCTCTCTTTTCTATACTGGCCCAAATAAACCACAAATACTGGTAGATGATCACTAATATCATTTATGATACCTCCAGACATCAAACATGTTAAAAGCACCATTAAGGTGATAAGAGGTAACATACAGCACATCACTGTCGCACACAAGGTGATATGTAGACACATGAACCTGTCACAGGATGGCATGTTCAAAACAGAAAACACCAAAGGCTTTTTCATTTCTCTCCCTCTCTGAGGTGCGACAGGCGTCCTAGTGTGTCCAGTCTGAGCAGCAGTCCCAGTAACAAACCGGTAAGTCTTTTCTCTGTCTTGCCTGCTTTGCAGCTACTGGAGTCGACTTTCTCACCTCTGCCTGTATCACACTCATCAGCTTTGTATACGATACCGAGCAAGTATAACAAATACTGATGAATAAATTGTAGTAAAATGTTAAAATAAAATGAAGTCAAACATAATTATGATGAATAAATGAGAATAAGACCCATCTAGTACCTTAACCCTCTTGATCTCGGACATTTCTCCCCCCGTCTGCTGTACCTCTACTTAGAGGATATCACGCATGCTAATAGTAAAATAAGAATGCAAATAACATGATATATGCAAGTACCAAGAAATGATTACACCCTTATAAGCTAACCAAAACCTCTGTTACTACATAAATGGCACTGCACTGAGGCAGTGAAACACAGAATAACAAAAGCAGATGTGACCAGTACATATGTGGTGGGGATACAGTCCTTTCTACTTCTGCTGAGTGCTGGAATGTCTGTCAGGAAAAGGCAGCTGATAGTGGACGTCTGCAGCACAGGGAGGTGCTGGGTCATAGGTGGCGAAATGCCATCGTCAACTCTGATGCTTTACGCACCTTAGAGGTGCCACTGCCGATAGGCTGCTGGCGTTTCAGGCAACAGCTTGGAGCCCTACTCCCTCCTCGGCCAGGTCGTTGGCTTCTGACAGTTTCTCATTAGTTGAAAATGGACGTTCCAGATCTCGGCTCCTTACTGATGTGTACACATAGAATTTGTCATAGTGGACAGAAATACCTATTTGCAATATTGATTTTAAAAAGTGTTTCCCTGCCCTCACTTCAGGCTTGAATGAATGTTGCTCAACACATGAGCTGTAATTTCAGTTTGCCCACAGTCCGCTCACTGAAGTCCGTTTTACCCCTGAACCAGTGAATGGATGTCCATCATGTCTGTTGTTTTTTCTTGAATAACTTTCAAACTAATAACGATATCAGCATCATTCCAAATGCCAGAAGCAGGTTTTCATGGTCAAACAATCATATTATAAAGTCACACTATCAAGAGATGCTTTTATGCCATTATGGGGAAACAGTTGCCCCCTTGGCAGAGGTCTGCCCTCTGTCAGTGCTGTCAAATTTTAATATTGATTCATTTCACACCACCAAATTGTTAAAAATACATTAGATGTTCACTGAAAAATGTCTTCTTCCCTGCCAGTGATGTCACAGCCAGTGTTCTGCCCAAGTGCAGTCTGACTCTCTGGTCAGACACAGTTGCAGATGATGGGGTCTCTGTGTGAGTTGGTGATGACATGGACTCTATAATCGGTCAGTTTCTGCAGGTCAGAGATCAGCTGCAGCAGATGAGGACTTGGCTCATTGATCACCAAGCTGGGGTCCTTTGGGTCAGGTTTGTAGTACGGATCCAGAACTTCCAGAGTGTCAAGATGCTGCAGCTGCTGCAGCTGTAGGAAGTCGCTGTCTGACACCTGGCGATGTCTGAAACACAAACTTGGTGACTAAGTATCTCAGCCTGCTGGAAACATTTTTACAGGTCAAGGGTATGTGACTCACCTGATCCTCAGCGTCTTCAAGTGAGGGAACAGCTGTGGGAGGAGTCGGATCAGGTTGGAGGAGGAGCTCCATGGCTCCAGGTGCAGGTGTTCCAGGTGAGGAGCTCTAAGTGAGACCAGCTGCAGGTCTTCAGGCTGCAGATCCACACAAAGAGTCAGATTGAGGAGGGATGATGGCAGGAACTCCACGTATGCTGACAGAGGATGGCCTCCTATTGGACAAATAGAGTCATCATGACATCACTGCATTTGACCATCAGGTACTAAAGAAACAAAGCACAAAAATTTGTCCGGCAGTCAAAACGTCCCTTCAGTTAAAGAAAAGGGCTCAAAATAGTTGATGTATTTTAAATTGAAACTAGAAGATAAAGTGTTTATGTACAGAAAACTGTTAGAGCATTCAATCAAATGTCAGTTCAGGTTTCAGGTGATGTGTAACAAGTGCAACTGATGAACTCAGTGAAATAAAGTTGAATTAAACATCTACTGAAGCTTTGAAAGCTAGACTTAAAAAAAACAGAAGTTCCATGTCTTTCAAGAGCCCACGGCACTTTTCCTTGTTTTCTGACTTATCTACAATGTTATAATAGTGAGTTCTCATCTTAGACGTGACCTAAAGCTCAAATAAAAAGGTGCACCGATGTTGTTGGGCTTCTATGCAGAAGCAACTTGGTTTATACACGTTTGGCAAACTCTCGCTCTTGAGACGTTTTTTCGAACAAAAAGATTTTCTTGAATGGTCATGGTCTCCAGGCCGTTGCACATTCATGTCAGTTTGCTTGACATCCACCGGTGCCATTGTAAAAAGCAGAATGTTTTGACTGCGCCCTGTTTTGGGGATATATCTTCCCTCCTGCTGCTGCACTGTGACCAGAGGATGTGGAGTAAAATACAGGACCTGAGGTTACTGCATGTCTGGGAATGTTCCTGTACAGGGACTCGCTGTTTTACCTGACCGGGTCTAACCTACAAGCAGCCGGCCTGTGAAGCCCCCTGAAGAACCCCAACCCTAACCCGAAAAGGTTAGTGATCAGCTGATCAAGGCTGGATTCCCCCTGGAGCAAAGTACCTGTTTGCTCTGACAGCTTGAGGCCAGTGTGTCTGCCGCATGTGATGTGTTGCTGGTTAACCAGTGCATTAACAACCCATGATGTTATTGTCAGTGCTACGCTACCTGTTGGAATTAATTTCACTACTTTGGGACTGTATGTGGTCGTGTTACACATCTCTTTTCATTGGTACATATAACAATGTTTACCTATCTATGGAGGAGACATTCAGATTAATTAATGCTGTTGTGGTTCATCCTGCTGTCCACTTTCATGTTGTGGCTTGAACATGTATGGTGGGATTTGAGGTATTGTCACTGTTGAAAACATAGCTTATTTGTCAGTCTTTTGTTCCCCCATCGATGTGTTTCCTCTGCTCAAAACTCAGTTTCATGTAGTACCCCCCTCACTGGTTGTTAGGATAATGTTGGGATTCAGGTTTGGGAAAGAACATCTCAATGGGGAAATGGATTTTAACACAACACCACGTTCATGAGCTGTCCTCTCATTTTGAGGAAGAGGGTCTCAGGTTTTATCGTTCTGAAATAATTAGACTATTTGGGGTTATGAGGGGTGCCAAGCTAATCTGGAGGCAGCCAAGATGAAACATTAAATGGCTGGAAATGAGCAAAACGAGCAGCCATGGGGACTTTAAATGTGACTGAGATGTACTCAAAGTAAAAGAAGTTGCATGATCCTTCATAACAACCAACTATTCAGTTTTTATATTTGATTTTTGAGTCTCAAAGTAGAATCACAGTACAGTCATAGTGGATGTTCAGGAGATGGTGAGTTAAATCAATGTCAAATCAGCTGCTCTATAAAATCACAGTAACGTCACAACAAGTGAGAACAGATATTCAGTAGATGTTTAGCAGAGTCAGTTCATGTTCAGGCTAACCATGCACACTGAGGCTGCAGAGCTGTGGCAATGATGTCAGCCATGTTTGTAGGTGACAGGTGGGCCCAGGTACGGAGTACAGGTGGAAGACTGACAGGCTGCGTAGGTGGGACAAAGGCTGCAGAACATCCTGCGTCACTACAGCATCGTAGTTCAACAACTGCAGGTCAGAGAGCTGCAGAGCACCTCCACCTGCTGGAGGACACAACACACCTGTGGATGTACCCATCATCATACCTATTACACCTGTTTCATTCCTGTCCCCACACCTATCAGAAACACTAAACCTCACTCATGTTCTTCTTCTTCTTCTTCTTTCTGCACAGAATGACGTCAGTTTGTTTTCAGGTTCACCTGCTGAAGGAGGAGAGTTTCTGTGTTCTCACTTTACATCTCATCAGGTCTGACCTGCAGGATTTAGAACCAACCAGGGTCACCCATTTACCTGAGAGGTGGGCAGGGCTGAAGAAGTCATGTGATAGCATCCTGTAGGTGATCATGGTCCAGGACAAGTGTTTGAGTTTGGTCAGGTGGGTCAGGACTCCACTGAGTGTCGGTACTCTCAGGCTTCCGTCATGATGCACCAGCAGTGAGGTGAGGTGAGTCAGCTGACAGACTGCAGCCAAAAAGTGAGAGGCAGAACAGGTAAGTTGCACATTACAAAGGCTGAGCTGTGTAAGCTGACGATTCAGAGGAAACAGGAAGTCCAAGTTCTTCAGTGGCGTGGAACAGTGGGTAATGGATAAATTCTGCAGCCGCTGGAAATGTTTCAGCTCATTCATGCCCGACTCCTTCCAGCCATCCATTCGAAGCGTGTCGAGAGCAGGCAGCCAGGTGGAAAGCTGTTTCAAGTGTTTCCTCTTCCCTGAACGTACCAACACGCTGCGCACATGCCTCTGAGCCAGACTGCGCCAGAATCTGTGGTTGTACTTGGAAAAGTGTCGCAGCACGACGCCAAAGCCCCGCCACAGGGGGTGAGACTTGTCCAACAGGTGTTTGAAGTGTGAACAGGTGCAGCGCACACTCAGTTTATCTTTCCAGGGCAGGAAGCTAAACACATGAAGCCACAGCTCGGCAGGAAGCTGCAATGCTGATGTCATTATGACCTCACATCAACATGTTGCTGAAACAACCACACAAAGATCAGACTGATTATTTATCATCACTGATACCTGTTCACTTGTCAGCATGAAGCTGCAGCAATGACAACACTGGCTACCAACAATAAACTGAACTGAAGTCTTACCAGCTGTTCATTGTTTTTGCGATGTGATCAGTGGAACTCTGACCTTGTCTTCTCCGCTTCTTCTTCCTGGTGTGTCAGTGAGCAAAGAATGTGTGTGAGCAGGAAGAGGTCTCACTCTGATCTGATTCTGCTGAGCTCAGGATTCATGTTAAAGACGCTTTAAAATTCACCCCCCTGTTACTTTATCACAATATTTATGTCTCACTTTTCACCTGTACTGTTGTTCCTTCACTTTATGTGGCCTCAGAGTTAGCCTCCTGATTAAAATGATACACAAGTATCAGTATTGGTGTACAGTTTTGCCTTATACAGTCAAAATTATGTCTAGTTTTTCCACATGCTATGTGTTTGGATGTTTTCTAAAATGGCTGTTTAATTCAGGTAGATACTGTATGTAGTATAACATTATCAATCAATCGTGATCTTTATTACCAAGTGTGTTAGAAATACAAGGAATTAGACTCTGGTTCAGTGGCCCCCAACATGCACCAAATAAAACAGAAAAAAAGAGAGTAAAACTTAGAACAACAAATAGAAGCCAATAACAACAAATAATAAATAAATATAGGCCTACCTACAGTCACAAGAAAAAGTCATGGCACTGTTTGCAGTTTCCTGGTTTTCTGCATCAACTGGTCATGAAATGTGACCTGATCTTCACCAAAGCCACAAATATCAACAAACGCAATATTTCTAAGGCGATAACACACAAACAGTCCTGATCGTTCATGTCTTTATCAAACACGTCCTTTAAACATACATTCTGATGTCATTGAATGTCAAATGAAAGCTGATAAGTTTTTATTTTTATGTCGGAGCTCTTGCTAAAGGAGACACGTTATTTTGCATTCTCTGTATTCACTGAGAAAAGTTAACTTAGAAGTAGTTTACATAGAAAGTCTGTTGCTGTGTACTTATTATTTTGTTGTTTTCATTCATTGTTGTTTGTTGCCAGAATGTGGGAAAAGATGTCTTTGAAGCTCACATTTTTCTGGGGGAGGACCCCCAGACCCCCACGTTGGTTCTGAAATCCTCCCTGTTTTTTTGTTCTCAAGGTTGGCAAGTATGTGGGAGCAGGGGGCAGTGACAAAAGGCTGCAGTCAGGACAGTCGGTTTAGGAGCGTTGTGCCAGCTACAGTGTGGGAGCCAGAGGGGGTTAGCTCCTCCACAGACACTTGAGCTCCCCCAGAAGCAACAACAAATGTTTAAAGTGTACTGGCATGATTAAGGTTGCAGTTTACTTTGCACTTTGCACTACTTTGTATTTTGAATGGAGGCAACATGGCATCACACACAGATTACCTACAGTGGATCTCTCGCATGAGTCTTCTGACTTTACCTGCTGTCAGTAATCAATCCATCCATTATCTACATATACCACTCATCCTGTCATCGTGAAGAGGGTCGCGGAGGGCTGGAGCCAAGAGGTGGGGTCCACCCTGGACAGGTCCTGCTGTCAGTGATGAATAAATAAATGTCATGATTATAATTGTTACTAGCACTTTACATTCCAAAGACAGTGGGGGAGGCGACAGTGCGGTGGTAGAGCAGTCGTCTCCCAACCAGAAGGTTGAAGGTTCAAATTTCGGTGCCTGCAGTCCACATGTCAAAGTGTCCTTGGGCAAGACACTGAACCCCCGAACCCCCCCCCAACGTTGCCCACGATGGTTAGAGCCATCAGTTGAGGTGGCACCGCAGATGGCTGCCTCAGTTCAGTACCAGAAACAAATTCCTTGTGTGTAACATACTTGGCCAATAAAGGTGACTATTATTATAGATTTTATTTAACCCTATATTTATTATACAGTCAATTAAGGGCAGGATTGGTAAATACAATAGGCCAAAAAAACTGGACTGGGACATCCCCCATTAAAATAAAATATACATCACATCAAAATATGATATAAATAGAAGACTGAACTGAGAAAATATGAAAATGAAACTATCACCTTTACTGATGTGTTGTCAACGAGGTCTCACTGTAACCGCAGAGTGAGGCCTCTTCGCAGTATAACATCCTGTCAGTGTGCTGACGTCACCGTCGGTGAACGCGCGCGGACAGTGCTTCTCTCCGGTGCAGAGTTTGGATGTTGTGACGTGACAAACCAGAACCAAACAAGAGGAAAACACATTTGACATGTAGGAAGCTGAGACTGTTGAACGTAAGTGGAGCTGGTTAACGATGAGGTGAAGAGAAAGTCTTTGTGTTTTTAAAGAGTGACACACCAGGAAGCTTTGGGGAATTATATTTATATTTATTATATTATATTTATCAGTCGTATCAGTGTTAGTTCTGTTATGTAGCCTTAAATTGTCTGTTTGAAACTAACACGACATATCACAACCTATGTATGTACTGAAACATTAAGCCGGACAGACACTGTGCACGTTTTATTGCTCGTGTACGATGTGTTAACTCGCATTGCACGGCCACAGTCCGTGACTTGACTGCTCACACTTTACGTCCCTTCACACTGGACCATGACCCCGGAGCTGTGTGTTGGTTGACAGGTCCAATAACGTTGAGCTCAGCCAAAGGAACCCCGCATTACTTTGTGCAGCCGGTGAACGGAGCTCATCAAAGGAAACCCGCAAAAGCAACCCCGCTTTTCTTTGTGCAGCCGGTGAACGGAGCTCATCAAAGGAAACCCGCATTACTTTGTGCAGCCGGTGAACGGAGCTCATCTGTTGTCATGACACCGACACGCTGCAGAGTTTAGCCTCGTTCCCAGACATGATGTAAACATCGTATAGAACCTGGGCGACAACTCATCTGTGCCACGTTGTTCTGACGTTGTTTTGTACTCACGCCAGTGAACTGAACTAACTTAGGACAGTGGTCCCGCGAGAGACCAGATTGCTGACATGCCAGAAATGACACGAGGAGTTTTACTCCAGTATGGCGGCTTTTCTGACAGATATATTCGAAAGTAGTATATTTGCCGGTATTGCACTGAGGGTTGTTGTTCTGTTATACAGTCATGAGTTAAGTGTTCACCAGAGTGAAGCTTCTTCTTTTTCTTTAATTGAATGAATGTCACTTTCGGCTTTTTCCCGTTTAGGGGTCGCCACACTGACGACTCTCATGTTGACATGTGGCACGTGTTTTACGCCGGATGCGCTTCCTGACGCAACCCTGATCTGCGTCCTAACCGCCATCCTACTAGGGACGGCTTCTTTTTCTTTAATTCATGGCTGGAATTCAGACAATTTAAGAATCTACCCACCCCGATACAGTAGGGGGCGGTATGCAGCGTAATCGTTGGTCCGCACGAAAACAGGAAGACAAAGGTGAGGTTGTACAGAAACACTGCACAAGAAGAAGAAGAATCAGGAAGTGTAAAGCCGGTAGTAAATACCAGATGAGAGGATTTGTTAATACTGAGAAGTTTTCTTGATTAGATGGAAGGTGAGTACATTTTTGTTGCTCATATTATCGATAAGCGATTCGTGGCGGCTTTGTCTGATGTTTCTGCAATAGTTAAGTGATCAGTAGTTTGATTTGAGGATGAAATCGCACGAGGCTCTGCATGACGAACAGTCGGCTACCTGATATATCGCAGAGAGGCGACATCTCCACTGACTCTATGAGGACCGTTTTTATCAGTAATGGCGGACTATAGGAACCTCGAATAGGTCCTGACTTTGGTTCCTTTTTATTTGTTGTTTTTTATATTTGCAATCTTATTTTGATTTACTGATTTTACTTGTTTGTAGTTTTGTTCTGTTGTACAGCACTCTGGGCTCCTACGAGTTGTTGAGTGCTATAGAAATAAAGTTTATTATTATTATTATTAGTTAAAGTTGCACTGAACTGAATGCGTTCTTTCTAAAAAAAAAAGAAACTGAAATCAGCTGAGTCAGCAATCCCACTAAATGCTCTTCTACGTGTCCATTTTCCATCATTTTTGACACTTAAATCCTACATGCTGTAGAAACACAGATACACACTCAAAGTTAAAGAAACTTCTCAACATTACTTGTATTCAGCTTTTAAATCCCTGTTGTACTTTTTAAACCATTCAACTTTGTTTGAACCTTGCTAAGTTGACAGTATGGCCACAATTTCCCCCTACAGCCATAATTCCTTTCCCAAGGTTAACCATCCATCCATTATCTATACTAATTCCCGAATAGGCTTGGGGGGCCCTGGACAGCTCGCCAGTCTATCACAAGGCTCCCTTGGTAACAGACTTGATGTAGTGTGGTTATCTAAGCAGTCAGACTTATAACAAATTATAGGTGAGCCTCAGTGACAGGAGTGCCAAGCAACTGCTCCATTAACTCTAATGTTAAGTGAACCCAGAGTTGGCTCTTTTTTTAGGTGGACACTGAAATAAGAGCGTGTGTAACTCTAGATAAATCCTTTATCTGATTGTATAGGAAGTAGTGCCATCTTGGCACTGGGTTTTGGTACCCAACCCTATCTATACAAACAGTGGGTTGCACCGCCTTCTGGCCCTGGTTGGTAGTTCACACTCAGATATGGTGGATTCTTTCATATTGATTTAGAGGCTTCAGGAGGAGCCAGAGGACCCTGATGTTTTCACAGAATAACAGTTGCCAGGATATAATGACAGTTTGAGCAAAAAATGAGGAAAAGTGGTTTTATAAAGTTACAGACCCCAGCTTTAAACCCACAAACTCAAGACCTCAGTGAAACCAGTTTTTGTTACAACAATGATAGTTTTTTGTTGTCCCACAAAAACTGTAGGAACAAACAGTTTTGTGGTTTTGTGTGTCTTTGCATGAAATGTTTTCTTAAGGTTGTTAATAAAATCAACTAAACTCTGTTCTCAGGTGAGTCAGGTGACATCACGGTAACCTCAGCAAACAGGAAGGGCTCTGCTGTCACAGGAAGTGCCCGAAAGATCAAAGACAACGCAGCTGATTGGCACAACCTGATGCTGAGGTGGGAAAAACTCAACGAGGATGGATTCAAGGTGGCAGCCAACGTTGTGAACATCAGAGGGTGACTTAAAATTTATTTGATTTAATGAATTCATTTTCTTTAATTTCATTTACTTTGTTATTGATGAAGGAATCAAGGTGGCAGAGAACACTGTAGGTGACTGTGGCTCAGGAGGTATAGCAGGACACCTCCTAACCATAGGGTCGGCGGTTTGATGTGCAGCTTCTAAAGTCCACATGTAAAAGTGGGAATGTGACTGGACGAACAGCGTGAAAGCGCTTTGCGTGTGCTGCATTGCATACAAAAGCGCTACACAAGTATAAGACCATTTACTATAAGATGGTGAAAGAACCTGACAAGTGGTCATGTCACTGACTTTAAACTCACACTGGACAGTTTTTAAAAAAGATGAAATCGAAGCAGCAGAACCAGAGATATTGTCATCTTTATCTGATATATTCTGCTGCTTCTCAAAACACAGTGTCTACATTACCCACAATGCACCTGGATCACTGGCAGTTGGGTTAGCTCAGTGTTTAACTCGGGGCTGACCCGTGGCATAGGCAGTCACCTAGGGCGCCAAATGCCAGAGCAGGTGCTGCACAAGAGGCGTCTGTTTTTTTATAAATAGCAGTGTCATAAGTGCCATGCCCACCTGAGTGGTCAGGAGCTGTATCGCTGGTCGTTCAGGTGATTAATTGGCGCTGGAATCCTGCTCACACTGTATGTCAAATGACAACTAATCGGGCCAAAATTTGGCTCAACTCTAAAAGTGGTTGGTGGTGACTGAATCGGGTCTAGCATTGGGCTGAATCCGTGCAGTGTTTGCTCAGCCTAAGAGGGAGGATTTAAATAGCTAAATAAAAAGAATAACCACATGCTGACAGTGTCTAACAGTGAAGAGGTGTCAAGATATAAAGCCTGATTTTTGTTTGAGGCTTATGTCTTCATCATGTATCTGTTTATCAGCTGCAGTAAACAGTGCAGACAATCAGCGAAAGAGGTGTGTGTGTGTGTGTATAATCTGGACGGGCTCAGAATTATATTACACTGGCCCATATACTCTGAGGTGAAGCATGCTACTACACTGGTTACAGAAAACAGCCTTTAAAATAATAATAAATATGTTATGCCCCAGGTATATTAATGTGTATATCTATACCCTCAATTTTAGTTTTTTTATCCAATGCTGTATTAATATCAAGTTTGCATCAAACTCCAGTTCAATTCAAAAAGCAAGTGGTGGCAGTGGCCTAGACTTTTTGTGTAGTGGGGCACCAGTGCAACAACCTGCAACAGTTTTTAAAGCCTCATTAAAAACATTAGGTCAAAGTCAAAGTGTTTATTGTCATATGCACAGTTAGGAAACGTGTTTCCCTGTACAATGAAATTCTTACTTCACCGTCCACATGAACGCCACAAAATACAAATGAAATATAAAGTAGATGAGCAATAACACAAATCTAAATAGGCATTAATAGTCACTTTGACCTGTCTGATGTGTATTTATGTGCTTTTCTCTTCTTCAGTTCCCCAAGTGATCGGCAGCTGGCGCACGAGTCTTCATCACCTTCATTATCCTCATCACCCGCAGAGCTGCAGAATGAATGCCGCAAACTGCAGGACATTGTCCACAAAATGGTGCTGCTTCATTTAACTTGAGTTCACTTTATTTCACAAATTAGTCCTGTGGAATACTGTATTATTCAAAAAGGTGTGATTGGAAACAGTTTTGTATCTGTAAGTACAGTTTTTTTAAGTTGGTACACTTAGGTTTGCATTTGTAAACTTAATTTTGTAAGCTTCTACAATTAGGTTTCTCTGTGTAAACTCCGTTTTACAGGTTTGTATATTCAGTTTCAGACTTACCAGCTTACTTTCACAAGCTGTCAGGCAAACAATCTTGTGTCGACTGTGTGCACGTGCCTATGGGTTTTTGACACATTTACTATGTGGCAAAGTTTTATAAGCAGATTTTTGTAATGATATCACATGGTTTGTAAGAGGGGAGGGTGGGACATTCAGACTTTGACCAGTCGGTGTCTTTGGAATGGCTGCAAACAACACATTGGCTAAACAATGCTGTCAATCAGACCAGAGATCGTGCTCAGGAAGGCTCCCAGTCCATCTTGGTCCAACTTTCCACTACCATTTGGAAAATGGATTCTGCCAGGTGTGGTGTCCACAAGTCCAAAGTAGGCATTTTGAAGAGGTGTGTCATCCAGAGGAACTCAGAATATTCATAATTAATAAACAAACTTTGAGGCAGTGAGTAGCAGGAAAGAGACCTTGTCCTGCCCCCAGAACTAAGCTGATTGTCTGCTTAGTTAAGACCCTGAACCCCAAGTTGCTCCTGAATGGCTAGGGACATCACTGCCATCGGTGGGTAACATACTTGGCCAATAAAAGTGATTATCATTACCTTTAGAGATGCTAGCTCTGTGTGGAGGCTAATCTAATCGTGTGAGGTTTTCCCGTACCAGCATAGTGGTCCCTCAGTATGTGCCGCACTTTCCTTGAAGTGAGATGAACTGCACCTTGCCTGCCCAGCTGATGAGAGCAGGCAGCAGTGACAAAAATCCAATCCTGTTACATGTGATCCCAGTTTAATAAAATGTCCTCAAACCAAACTGTTCAGCTTCTCCTCAGGGTCCAAACAGCTGCTGGTTTAATGGTGTTCTTCTGTATGACTGATATGTTGATCTGTGTTGGTCTCCATACTGTTACTTAAATATGGTCTGAACATCTGGGCTGCGGTTCTCATACAAAGCATCATCAAATCAGTTTGCTGCTGTATCTGAGCTGACCAGGCTCGATTTGATATGAAACTGCATGAATACTAGCGACTTTTGATCTGTTGGTTATTTAGCCTGCCACTGCTGCACCTCACAGATGTCACAAAGAACCTTCATGTCCCGTTCACCAAAGGCTTATGTGTCTCTTAATAATAATGTACAACACAAATTAAACCAGTTGACATTGTAGAGCAGGACTCTACAGACCGTCTGCAGCCTGAGGGAACCACATGTCACGTCCTGTACTGACTGTGTTCAGCTCCTCTGATAAACGTCACCATCAGCCACACTTTTATTCTGTTAACATAAAAACCCTTGTTGGGTAAAGACCAACTCATACAATCACATTCGCTGCAGTTAAACAAGAAACAATACGTTTCTATAAAACATCACAGCTAGTCGGGATCAAGTCAGACAGAAAACTAACCGGCATGCATTGTCCACCGATTGCCAGTGATCGGTTCTGTGCAGATGTGGGTCATCTCCAAGGAGCCCATAATGTTAGTGATGTGACAGCAGTCATACTACATCACTTCCTGTTAATTTAACATGATGACTTAGTTTACACAAACTGTGAACAGAGCGTCTGCTCTTCTGCATTGTATTATTTTGTGCACAGTCTGTGTATAATGTTAGTAATAGTTTTTAGAGTTTTTTATTTTTATTTTTTGATATAACTGGGTGGACACTTAGGATTGATTGTTTTCAAACAAAGATTGATTCCTGTCCTGTAGTCTGGAACAGAATCAGTGTAAAATTACTTCATACTCAGGTGTTTCTTTTATTCTTCTGGTGTTTGTTTCTATTTTTCATCTGTTTTCTGTCAGGTTGTTGTGGTGATGAAGATGGAGCGTCTGCTGACATCACAGCGAGGCATTCAGGATCTGGAGGAATTTCAGTTCGCACCTGAAGGAAGAAAGTCTCCTCTGTTTCACACCTGGAACACCAAACAGTTTGGTGAGTCTATGGCTGCATCTCAAGTGTCTTATGATTGTTCCGGTTAGTGATGAGGCTGTTGGAGGAACCGGGAGCAAGGATATATGAGTGTCCGTTGCAGAAGTTTATGGAGCAACATGCTCCTTCATAGGAAATCGGTTGGTGATTGGACCCTTCAGTTAAAGGATCAGGGGAAAGGACGACTCCTGTCTCTAAAATGTGTTTCCTGGAGTCCTTGCATCTTTTACTCACATCTTATATGGCAGGGACTAAGATGCAAGTGATGGAAACAATGCATATAAGAGACTTGGGATGTACCCTTTCCTAACACACTTGAATGATGTCGGCAGACTCCAATGGCATCAGTGTGATACACCTGTTCACAGTTTGATATTTTCATCAGTGTTTTCATCTCAAACACAAACTAAATTCTGCAGAAGAACAGTTTGAAATACAGACGAGATCTGTTTCTTTGTGTTTCAGAGGAGTTGTCTCAAGTCCTGTTGGATGCCTTCAGTCAGGAGCTGAAGCTGAAACAAACAATTCTACAGGAACTCGCCCACACTTGGACATCTGACCTCTGCATGGTCTACCTGTCCTGCTGGCTACATCAGCCCTTCATCCCTCCTGAGACCAGACTGACCCTGGAGGCTCTGCTGCTGGAAACTGGACACCGTCCACTGTGATGTCACCTCTTCTCCAGAGTCATGTGATTACTGTCAGGGTCAGCTCTAAGAATGTCAGCCTAGTGTAGCACAGAGACCGGGTGCAAACTGCTAGGCTAGCTATCTAACGTGTCTAGTTTATTGAACAGGTAAAGTCAGCTGAGTTCACCTGCAGCCTGGACTCTACATGACATAGGTGTAGAGCATTTCTCCTGTTACCTTTACACTCTGGGTCATTTTCTGTCAGAGCAGCTTGAGTCTCTGAAGCCTGAGATGAACTATTAATGTTTGTAAATATTTATTAAAGCTATTGTGTGAAGCTTTTTTCAAATATTTCTTGTATGTGTGGGTAATATATATACAATTTAGGATTAATATAGCATTCATTTGACATTTAGGGTCACATTCTGAGGTGATATGGTCCTGTGGAGGTTTCCTTTTAATATCAATCAGAATTTTGAACCCTCTATCCATCCATCATCTCTGCCGCTCATCCTGAATAGGATTGCGGGGGGCTGACACTGGGCGAGAGGCGGGGTCCACCCTGGAGAGGTGGCAATCTGTCACAGACAATCTCACACACTCAGTCTCCAGTTAACCTGAGCTGCATGTCTTTGGATTGTGGGAGGAAGCCGGGGTACCTGGAGAGAACCCACGCAGGCTGGCATGGCCCCGGGCATTTCTTGGTTTATTTGTGTGCTTGTTAACAACATAACTCTAAAAGCAATGAATGGATTTTCATGAAATTCTTTGGAGAGGCAGGGCATGGCCCACGGAACATTTGATTTGATTTTGGTCACCTAATTTAGATACAGGATTTAAAAAAAAAAAAGACTTCACCACTGTGAGTGCTGACTGCATGTATGTATGAAAGCCCTTGTGGCCACTGTGCATGGCTGCACTGCTGAGCACTGGAGTGAAGATGGCTACAGTGTGCATCTATGAAGAACTGTAGGTACACATTATGTCAGTGGGCACTAATTTAGCCATTTACTGTTCACTCATGTCAGTGTACTACTACGTAAAGCTAATCTGTTCACAGTACGGCTTGTTCATCTTGTTAAAGCTAGCTGACATACTACAATCTGGGGGTATTGCAGCAAGCAGGTTAAGTTTGTTCAAGGTGAAATGCGGGAAGCTCAGTCTTTTCACTTCCAGAAACAGATCTACTCTATGCAGGGACCACAGGCAGATCCACTGGGCAGACACAAAGGGTGAGTCAACCTTTCTCCATTTTAAATGGTTACAAGTGTAATCTCCATGTGGCCAGCACCTGTTGGTTGCTACAGGTGAGTTTCATTACAAATTAAAGGAGCATCACAGGTTTGAAATACAACTGTTTCTGATGATTTTCTGAAGAAAGTGCTACTGGACCTTAATAGGTGTCCGTTGTTCTGTCCCGGCCATTTTTGGAGTTCTGTGTGGGCTGTACCAGATTTGGCCTTTTCTGTGTTGTTCCAATGCAAAAATAGAAATAAACATGACAACAACAGAGTTTGAGTGCAACCATTTTCTGGGAGAAGGGGTGCATTGTCTGACAGAAAGGCAGCGGCGCCAATATTTTGTATGACTGACACTGGTAAAGGACTCGACTTGAAATTCATGACTCGGTACTATAGTTAGACTTGAGACAGATGACTCGAAATCACTTCGCCTTCTTAATTAAATACTAGCGTTTTTCTAGATACCGAAAAGTTACGTTTTGTTTTTGAAACACAGTTGGGTGGTTTCTAGTGCAATGCGCACAAACCTGGCAACCGCCCAGACCAGCAGAGTGTGACGTGGACACACCTGACATGGAGGATCCTGGTCCAAAAGTAAGTCTGTGTGGACTCAAGGATTATGTTGTCGAAGACGGTAGTAGGACGAAAACAGCGGTATGCAGCGCAAAGGTGAGTGACACGATCAACACAACATCCAACTTAATCCGTCACTACAAAACTCACAAAGAAACGGTAAGTACGTGAATGTGTACGTGAAGTTAGTGGCTGGTCAGTCCAGGGCCGGAGGGGGACTCCGGAGCCCTGGAGTTTTATGACTTAGACCGGCCCACTTGAGTTCACGATATTAAAATAACGTTAGTTAAAAGCTAAGTATATAAGTATGTAATAGTACACTGCTCTCTGCAGCCTTGTCATTCTTTATATTTTTCAAATGTTTAATTTCCAAATTAGTGCAAATAAAGCCAAGTGTCGATTGACAGTTAATATTTATTAGAACAGTTAACGGTAGGCTATTCTTTACAAAACAAAGTTTTTAACTGTTTTTAACAGTATCAATCTATTTTTTTTGTAAAAAGTTGTTTAAATAAATATAAGTATAATATACATTTTACAACGAATATTTCTTACAAAAATAACAAAACTGATATTTTCTGTGCAAAATTGTTTGTACTGTAGATATCAACCCTCAAACACAAATGAAGAATAAAACAATAATGGCACTGTTATCTGCATGAATCTTTTACTTTCTAATCTCTTTTTCATCTAAGTGCATCTTTAACGCAACATGGCCAACTCTAAAAATGAACAAGTGCCTGAGTAGTGGACTGGTCTCTGCAAATTTGTTTATCACAGTGGATGAGATGCACACAGATGACACAGTTTTTACAGGAGGAACCAGTTTTGCTCTCTATTTTGACATCCTGCTGTTCCATGGAAGGATCCTCCTCATCATTTCGCTAGCCGTCCTGACACTGTAACCCTTCAGTCTCAGTCTGTCCCACTGAGATGCAAGACTATACAGTTCACTACACGATGTGCCAACTGTAGCCATGTTGTCAAATTTAAGCAGACATTTGCCTTTTTCCTCCAGAGCTGAGCTGGGGAGTCCATTTTCTCTCACATGAACAAAGTTTCTAGTGTCTAAAGATGCTAAATCTGAGCAAAGTTTTGTATTAGCAGAAAACCTCCGATGGATACTGCGTGTTACTGTGCCTACAATGACATTGTGTACTTTTACCATGAAGTCAGTATCAGCTGATGCCATCTGCTCATCTTCTGCAAGCTCTCCTGGCATTCTTTTCTTTTTTCTGATCCTTCTCTCAGAAAGAGCTGCCTGCACTACAAGCTCACACTCTTCCTCCACTTGCAATTTTCCATTAGCCCACTTCACAAACTCATCAGCTGCACATTTCACTCCTTGAAAGTCCCTAGCACACCTTCTGAGGCCATCCTCTGTCCCCTTAACCAGATTTTGAGCTGTGATGATATCCATTCCCCTTGTCTGTAAGTACTTTGAAAGGGGGGATGTAAGCTCAAAAATGCGAAGGAAGAGCTGAGCAGTGAGCACTGTCTCATACTTCAAAAGGCCTTCTATGAATCCCTTTGCCTTGGCCCTCACAGTTGGCTTTTGTGTACTGTCATCTACAACAGTGTCTAAAGTCATAAGCACTTCAACAAATAAGCCTCCCTCAGGATTCCCAAAGCAGCCAAACACTTCACTTTGTGGCTTAGCCCACCACCTTCTTGGTCCTATTGGGCAGTCATCTGTGATGCTTGTCCTGAATCTTCTCTTCCCACTTCTGCATGCGCTTGTATGACTCTTAAAAAAAACTGCTATATCATTAAGCTGTGAAAACAGAGATGCACTTTCTACAACACTGCCTGTTGTGTCTGCCAGCACAAGATTCAAAAGATGTGAATAACACCAAATGTGAACCTGATTGGGGGAATGTTCAGAGAGGAGTGTAGAAAACCCATTAAACTGCCCCTGCATATTAGCTGCACCATCAGTTGAGTTGCCCACACATGTGCCAATATCAATATTAAGGTCCAGTAGCACTTTCTTCAGAAGCTCTACAAAATTCTGGCCAGTAGATGACTCACAATCCACCACAGCAATCAGTCTTTCTTGAATCACGTCTGTTACATATCTTATGATTCAACACTGGTCTTTGGAGCTGATATCTTGCGTTGTGTCAATCTGGACCGAAAACATGCCAGCTTGTCTGACTTCTTCTGCTATAGTTGCCTTTATCAGTTCACTAATGGCATCCACAACTTTATTAAATGTTTCTTTTGACAGCAGAGTAACTAGAGCACCTCTGCCTTTTGCACCAGTTTCATGCTGCTTTTTGCTGTTTTCAATGCAAGTGTTAACATGCTGTAGGAGGCAAACGTCATATCTACTCAAGAGTAGAATCAACTCCAGGAAGTTACCATGATCGACAGCAAGGTTTTCTAAGCTGTAACTTGTCTCTTCTTTATCTCCCCTGTAGCTAAGGCCACATTTGCCTATGACTTTAACAACATCCACTATGCACTCCATCACCTGACGTTTCTTTTTCACTTGCTCAGCACGTAATGACATTTGGTTGCTAGTCAACAGGCTTTTCACATCTGCATTTTGTATTTTCATAAAGTAAGCATCTGCACAATCTCTGTGTGTCTTACATCTTTCATGTTCCACTATCCTTTGGTGAATGTGTTTCCAGTCTTTCATGCCCTTTATGAAAGGGCCATCACATACCAAAGGTGCAAATGCCAAACAAACAGAACAGTACAGAGATTGTTTCTTTTTCCACAGTAACTCAACCACTTGCAGTTTGTTCCATTTTTACTATTGAAAACCTTTGGTATAGGAACATTTGGGGGTTGTTGAGGATGATAAGAAAAAAATGTATGTATATCTT